GGCGGTGATTTCATAGATGCAGTCGTTGTTTTTAGGTTCAGATTTTAACTCTGAAAATACCTTTGTAATAAGACGACGCTTTTTTAATTTGGTGCGTCGTGGTTTCAAAATATCTATACGTGTGCCGTTTTTTAGGTGTTTAAAGTATGTTTCTACGACGGGTTTCTATTACCGTCGTCTTTTAAAAAACAACGACGGTTTTTTGATCTACCGTCGTTGTTTACTGGTCGTCTTTTGCCCTTTTTGTAGTAGTGGCCCCAGTAGAAGGAAAGCATGAGTCACCAACTCAAACAGATTTCGATGCCTCTACTTTTGACGTCTTAGATAACCAACTAAGAACTTTAACAAAGCCGTTTAAAATCAATTGGTCAAAACTAGAAAGCCATTATGATGCCCCAGAAAATAAGTCAAGAAAAATTATGTAACATGCATCTTTCCCCAAAGATTAGAGAAAAGTAATTTTCAACGATTGGAAAGATTTCATGAAGAAAACTAAGTCTGAAGTTTTTTACCTAGATTACGTAGAAAGTCACAATATGAGTCAAAAGTTAACTACTTTAACCCAAGAAAAATGGGAAAAAGAAGATAACACAAAAGTCATCTCTACGCACCCCCTAGTTGAAACAATAGTCATCAACCACAAACAAGCCAAAATCATTGCTAGTCCCTACAAAGTCCCCGACCAGCATGATAAGAAAGTTGTTCAGCAGAATAATTACACCAACCAAAGCCTAATTGTCTTAGGAAAACAATTAGATAAGATTGAGACAAAAGTTGATAAGTTAATTCCTCAGGAAATTACCATTAAGCCAAAAAAGGAAAAGCCTTTAGTCAAGTTCTCAAAAATCAAGCCTGAATCTGCATTAAAAGTCTCCCCCACTATAAAAAGAATAGAAGAAACGTTTCAAGAATTAACCCCTATTAAAGCTGAAAAGAAAAAGGAAAAACAAACTAAGTCTTCCTCTACCCTTAAAGTCCTTCAATCAGATTTCCCTGAGATAGAGTCCGGTAGTGAGTCTAGCTTCAATAGTTTGACCGACACTACTAATATTTCCAAAATTGAGCAAGCCTTTGCCGATTTAAGTCTCCAACATAATTTCCAAAACCTTAAGCTAAGCCGTTTACGTGGAAAAGTCAATCCCACAAGTCTCACAAACAATTGGTACCCGAAGCCTACGCCCCCTGATATCCAATTCGAAGAAAGAACTCAAGCCCAATTTTCTGTGTCTTCTGATAAACTATACGAGTGGAATATCGATGGTTTATCCGAACAAGAAATCCTCAATAAGCTCCAACATATGTCAATGGTTGCCAATAGTTACATCACCAACCATAACTTACGCCAGTCTGAAATTGTGCCCCTATTAGAAATTGGTTTCACCGGAACACTTCGTTCTTGGTGGGATAAGCACCTCACTGAAACAACTAAGTCTGAAATTATCCATGCTCTTAAGCTTAATGAAGATGGTTACCCTCTTTTTAATGAACGTCTAGGAGCAGGTATAGAAGATGGAGTCAATACCCTTATGTATACCATAATTGAGCATTTCATTGGAACACCTAGTAACACAACTGCTAGGATCCATGACCAATTAAGTAACCTTAGATGCCCAAAGTTAAGCGATTTTAGATGGTACAACGATGTCTTCATCTCAAGAGTCATGCTTAGAGACGATAGCAATCAAGCCTTCTGGAAAGAGAAGTTTATTAATGGTCTCCGTAATTTGTTCGCCCGTAAGATTAGAACTGTCCTAAGCAATGAGTCAGGCCAAATTAATTACGATGAGTTAACCTTCAGTACAATTAACCAAGTAGGTATGAAAATGTGTGTTGATCTAAAAATTGGTAAATCAATCCAAGCCGACAAGAATAATGCTAAGTATGAGTTAGGTAACTTCTGTGAGCAGTATGGTCTAGCACCGATTCCCTCGTCTAGACAAAACAAAAGAAGTCATGATAAAAGATTTAGCAAAAGCCGATATTATTCTCGTAGGAAAGATTCGTTCAAACCTAATGATGAATTTTATCGAAAAAGGAAGTTTACCCCTAAGAAAAAATATGGTTCCTGACAAAGCAAAGAGAGTCACTTTAAGAAAAGGTCCGACAATAGAAAAGTAAAATGCTTTAAGTGCAAAAGATTCGGTCACTATGAAAATGAGTGTAAGGTAAAAGACACCATTAAGCAACTAAAGTTAGCATTCGTAGATGAAGCCCAACTAATTAAAGCCCTTGAGTTAGCTGATACTGAGTTCGAACCAATGTCTTTAAGCTCAGACACCTATAGTTCCGATAATTCCCAATCAAGTTCACCCACAATCCAACTAGGATGTAAAGATAAGTGTTGTAAAGCCTTAAGCAAGGCTGTTTGTGTCCTCACCAAACAAGAAGAGCAAGAAGAATTATTAATCGATTTAATAAGCAAAGTCGAAAATCCAGAGTTAAAGTCTGAGTATTTGAGAAAATTACGAAAAGTCATAAGTCTTGAAGAGCCCAACACCCCCTAAGATAAGTCTTACTACTACCTTAGAACGATTTAGCAAAAAGAAAGAAGTCACCCTTCAGGATCTACAACTAGAAGTCAAAACTGTTAAGAAAGAGTTAGTTGAGCTACGCCAAATAAGTCAAAAGTTACAAACAGAAAATTATGAAATCAAGCAAGACTTAATAGGTCTTATGGAAAAGTATGAGTCTAATGCCCAGTCTGAATCTGAACCAGAGTCTTCCGACACCAAGTCTGAAACTGAGAAAGAAATTGAGCCCTTAGATAACGAGGATAAAGTTATCAAATTAATTAAACAAATCAATTTCCGAAAATGGTATTCCAAAGTCAGTATTTTTATTAATGATTTCCAGCTATCCACAGTTGCCTTATTTGATTCAGGAGCCGACCTTAACTGTATTCAGGAAGGTCTAATCCCCACTAAGTTCTACCATAAGTCTAAAGAAACGATAGGTACAACATCAGGTAAGCCCTTAAAGTTAAACTATGAGTTGCCAAAAGCCCATGTCTGCCAAAATAAGATTTGCTTTAAGACGTCCTTTGTTCTGATTAGAAATATCATGGATGCAGTCATATTAGGATTACCCTTTATTTCTCTGCTTTACTCCTTTTTTTTTTTTTTTTGAGAGGGGCGATAGCATACTAAACTCACACACACTACACTGATGCTAGGACTCGAACCCAGGACCTTGCCTGAGGGAGTAAATACTCCAAACCACTATACTAGTGGGTCCTTTGCTTTTGAGAGGGGCGATAGCATACTAAACTCATACAGGAGTCACGTCTAGTCACCTTGGTGAGAAAGTAAAATTTGAGTTTTTAACTAAGCCTGAATTACACAGCCTTAAGTCACTCCAAAAGTCTGCAGTTTCTAAGTCTGTCTACCTAGTTGAGAGTAAAAGCAAACAAGTTAATTTTCTAAAAGAAGAAATTAAGTTCAAGCGTGTGGAACAACAGTTAGCAAATAAGGTTCTATAGTCCCGAAATACTAAGTTTGAAGAAATATTAAAAAATGAAGTATGTTCTGATATGCCCAATGCTTTCTGGCACCGAAAGCAGCATATTGTTACTTTACCCTATGTCAAAGACTTTAGTGAAAGTAAGATTCCCACTAAAGCTCGTCCAATTCAAATGAGCCAAGAATTAAGGGAATTATGCAAACAAGAAGTCACGGACTTAGTCAAAAAGGGAATACTCAGGAAAAGTAAGTCCCCCTGGTCTTGTCCCGCTTTCTATGTCCAGAAAAATGCCGAGCTAGAAAGAGGAGCCCCACGTCTAGTCATTAATTATAAGCCTCTAAATTCTATCTTAGAATGGATTAGATACCCCATTCCGAATAAGAGAGATTTAGTTAACCGATTAGAAAAAGCAATCATATTCAGTAAGTTTGATATGAAAAGAGGTTTCTGGCAAATCCAGATTAAAGAATCCGATAGGTATAAGACAGCTTTTGTCACCCCTTTCGGTCACTATGAGTGGAACGTAATGCCTTTTGGATTAAAAAATGCCCCAAGTGAATTCCAGAATATAATGAATGAGATTTTTAATGCCTACAGTGAGTTTTCCATAGTATATATTGATGATGTGCTAATCTATTCTCAATCCATAGAGCAGCACTGGAAGCATCTTCATAAGTTCCTCCAAATTGTCAAAGCCAATGGTCTAGTCCTTTCAGCCAAGAAAATCAAGCTATTCCAAATCAATGTCAGGTTTTTAGGATTCGACATAAGCCAGTCTCAAATAAGCCCTATTGATCGAGTTATTCAGTTCGCTGATAAATTCCCATATCAAATTCTTGAGAAAAGCCAGCTCTAGAGGTTTTTAGGATCTCTAAATTATTTCTCTGATTTCTATCAGAATTTGAGAAAATTATGTAAGCCCCTGTTTGATCGTCTCCAGAGCAATCCCCCTGCCTGGACTTCCGTTCACACAGAAATCGTTAAGCAAATCAAAGTCCATGTCAAGTCTCTTCCATGCTTAGGAATTCCTTCGGTCAATTCCTTTAAAATTGTTGAAACAGATGCCTCTGAGTCTGGATACGGTGGTATCCTAAAGCAAAGAATCACTCCTGAGTCTCTTGAGCAAATCATCCGATTCCATTCTGGTATTTGGACTTCCTCCAAGCTAATTATAGTGCTATTAAAAAAGAAATTTTATCTATAGTACTATGCATAAGCAAATTTCAAGATGATTTACTAAATCAGAAGTTTTTAATTAGAGTTGATTGTAAAAGCGCTAAGCATGTTTTAGAAAAAGATGTTCAAAACATTGCATCAAAGCAGATTTTTGCACGATGGCAAGCCATTTTAAACATTTTTTATTTTGACATTGAGTATCTGAGTGGAAGTGAGAATAGTGTCCCTGATTTCCTCACCAGAGAATTCTTGCAGGATAAGCAGAAGCAAAAATGTCAGAAAGAAAAAATAAAGACAAACAGAAAGCCGAAGCCAGCCACCCAAGCCAAGCTAGAATCCTCCCAGCAACCATAATGCAGACAAAGCCTGTCAAAACAAAGCCCCATATATATATATACTTGCTTTGAAATTTCAATTAAAACAAATTATACCAAAGATTTTGACACACTTCAACGTTTCGGTTTTTAAACACTTCAACCGTTCAACATTGGATGTTTCAACGTAAATTGATTAATGAGTAATAATTAAGTAATTGGTAATGAAACAATACAAGCTATTTGAAACAAACAAAAACTTAGAAAAAAAACGTAGTTGACTTCAATATATATTTTTTTAATGGTCATTAATTAGCTTTTGAATGCTGTTAACATTATTAAGATTCTGAAATTTATTTTTAAAACAATTGTGCTGTAGAAAAAGGACACACCAAATATCTAGCTTTAAATTGATTTTGTAATTAATTTGCTAGTTACCTTTGTTTGTACCATATCTGACCCTCCACTCGCACTATGACGCGTGGACAAAGAACGACGGTAGATCATTCAAGTGCGAATCGGCGTCTACTACCGATTCAATCATCGAGCCTTCCCTCTAGCGCCTCACCGAACGGATCATCTGTACCAGATACCGAACGATCCTCAAGCATGCGATTGGCATGCCCTGGCGATTCTGCGGGACAACCTTGAATACCCTGCCTAGATATTTGCAAACTCATGTCAACCTCATAAGGCACTCCCACGAGTCCTAAATTGAAACTAAGTACTAAGACTTTCAACTTGACTTTTACACATACACATTGTCAATAGCAAAGCTCTTAAAAGAAACTTACTTTGGCATCGGAGGGTCTTCGGCTGGTACCACACCAGTACTCTAGACCTCACCTGTCATCTCTCTCCTTGATTCAGATTCGGCATCTCAAGGAAGAACGCACTCATACCTAAAGGCCCAAACGGTCTTTAGACCGTCCACATTACCTGTAAGTTGCTTTAATTTCTATCTGTTTAGTTTTAGTACCAACAACCTTTGAGCAATTAAAGATTTAAATCTCTTCCAAAATGTTGAGCTATAATAATAATACCACATAAATTAGTCTGTAGGTTTTATTTTTATTTTCAAACACTAGCAGTAATTGCCCAAACGTTAGCAACAAATTATAAAAATATAATGTACCAACAATATTTAAAGTAATTGAAATTGTATAGACAACATGAAAGCTTTAAACTGCATCTACCCAAAACAAATCGTAATTTTCATTTTGAAAATCCAATACAAATGCAAAAGATTCAGTCAAAGAGTTAAAAGGTATTAAAGCTAGCAATACGGGAAAAAAACAACTTTAACTTACAAAGGATTTAAATTGTTATAAAAAATATAGTTTTTCTCTTTCCGTAAAGCCAAATACAAAAAACCCTTTTGTTATAAATAACATATAAACAAATTGGAAAGCTATTAAGGTACAATGAAACTGAAGGAAAACAAATTAATAGGTAAGTAAAAGCAAATAAGTTATAAGTAAAAAAGTGAGCTTGGTACAGAGAAGCACGTCAAAGACGTTGTCCTGAAGCCTTTGTAGCCTCCCTATGTGCAGGTATTGACGGTCTACAAGACTCCAAGATACGACCCCTTGTACACAAACTCAAGATCCTCTATGAGCACGTTCATTGACGGATATAGGTATCCAAGTCACATAACCATTGCCCAAAATAATAATATAAGTAGAGAAAGTATAAAAAGTAGAAGAGGAGAGAATCATATTGTGGTGGTGATTGTGGTATGTGATATTCTAATGGTATATTGTGGTTGTTCAAATGTGAAGGATGAGTGGCCTTTTATAGGCATCCAATAACATATAACCTTCACCACATTAAACTATAAAATTAAGGCATTCAATATAAAAATAAAACCTGAAAATTAAATATTTATAACCCCACAATAAATAAAATAAAACAGCCAAAATAATTAAATAAATAAAATGGTTAAATTTTTAAAACACCTTTTTAAAATTCCAACATTTATAACCATTAAAAAAAGTTTGGGCATCAAACAAAGATGTCATTTAGTTTTTGTACATAAGAAATAATTGAGGACAAAAAATAATGGTTGAAGACAAAAAAAAAATTCAAAGACTGAAGAAAATATAACCATGCACAATGCCGGGAGTGAGAGAACAGTTGGGTTTCAAGATGGGTTTGTGAATTTTGACCCCAAAATTCCAACTTTAACTGAAAAATGGGACAAAAGCTAAGATAATAAAAGACCCAGATGGATCAAATGGGTTTCTGGACTGCAGAAAGATCAGCCAAGATCAAAGGAAACAATTTGGGGGGGGAGGGGGGAGAGAGAGAGATTTATTTTTATTTTAAATTTTTTTTAAATATTTTATTCATATTTTAATTAATTTAAAATTAATAAAAAGTGAAAAATGTGGGACCCACAGTGCCACGTTAGCAACTAATGGAGAGATCTGATAGAAATCTTAACGGCGGAACCACATTGTAACAAATTTAAACGACTGGGGTATGATATTGTAAAAATTGAGAAGGTAGGGAATAACATGTCTTAAGGGTGTAACCATAGAGATTTTTTTTAAAATTTTTTTTGTTTTAAATATTTTATTCATATTTTAATCAATTTAAAATTAATAAAAAATGAAAATGTGGGACCCACAGTGCCACAGTAGCAACTAACGGAGAGATCTGACAGAAATCTTAACGGGGAACCACATTGTAACAAATTTAAACGATCGGAGTATGTTATTGTAAAAATTGAGAAGGTAGGGACTAACATGCCTTAAGGGTGTAACCACAGGGTACTAAAGTGAAATTAATCCAAAATAATATAAAAAATAATTAGCATTAATTAAAGGTTTAGAATACTCATAAAATAAAGCAGCATTAAATTATAAGGAGCCACTAGGAGTCCTTTCTCTCTATTCAGATTTAGGAGCTCGAGCATCCACAATCATGCTCTCTAGTTTTTAGTTAAATTTTAGCTAAAAACAAATAAAAGTTATTTTAGGAGCTCTCTATAAAATTTATACTCCAATCATGCTCTCTAATTTAGGGAGTCATAAATGCTATAACTCATTTTTAATTGGTAAATTTCTATTAAAAAATAATATAAAAATAATAAATATTAATTAAAGGTTTGAAATACTCATTAAATAAAGCAGCATTAAATTATAGGGAGCCACTAAGAGCCCTTTCTCTCTCCTCAGATTTAGGAGCTCCTAGAGATCTCTTAGAGGTCTAAGGAGGTGGATAGGGAGCATGGTTGGAGTTGTATTTTTCCAAATCCTCCCCAAAATTTGTCTAAGGAGGTAGTTGAAGGAGTCCATTGTGGATGCTCTTAGAGGTCTCCCTATTTTAGGAGGTGGATAGGGAGCATGGTTGGAGTTATATTTTTCCAATTCCTTCCTAAAATTTGTCTAAGGAGATGGTTTAGATAGCCCATTGTGAATACTCTTAAAAGGGATAATTTATCCTCTTCCTCCGTTGGTATGTGAAAAGTGAGAATCAAATCAAAGTATTTGTGAGCTTGGGGTTGTACTTGATTTCTTTATGTTCTATGAAGGAGTTATATCATTTCTTTTTATTAAAAGAAAGAAGCATAATAATCAATTCATAAGACCATAATTTCATAATTCTGTTCTATGAACTAGTGAGCCTATGTGACATTAATTTAGTGTAGAACAAACAAAATGGTTGTTTTATATATTCTTTATGTTGGCGTGAATCTATTCAATTATTCTTTATTGTAATTGATTTTGTATTATTTATGTGTAATTACAGGAATATCGGATTGACTGGGATTGTATTTTTTTCTTTTTCTCTTTCCTAGATAGGCTTGTATTTGTATCACATTGTGAGAAGAATAAAATACATTGAATTATTCAGAACCCTAATTCTATTTGAGTTGGTATCAGAGCAGTGATCCTAGGATCCTACTCCTGCTGCTATCCTTGTTCTATATCCCTTACCCTTTGTCGTTGCACATTGCCTTGCCATTGCACCTTACCTTACTATTGTTACCTACTGCCTTCTCTTTGCCTCTGCCATACCGTGCTGCTGTTGCCGCCTTGCTGCCGCCATATCCTGCTAATGCTATTGTTGCCATACCCTCCAGCCCCTTTTTTTTAAAAAATACTCTTGCCGCAATTTGCTGCACTTTATTCAACCCTTGTCGTGCTCTATCTTACCCTAATTCACCTTTATGGCTCTCCTTGCTACTAATTCTACAAAGAATCATGGTTGGATTCTTGATTCTGGAGCTACTAATCATATGACGTTTGATGCGTCTCTTCTTCACCAACATTGTTCTCCTACTTATTGTACTGTTGCTAATGCTAATGGTGTGCCTTCTCCAGTTACTAGTGCTGGAAGTGTCCCTCTATGACATTGGAACAAACTTTATTGGTTCATATGCTCTCTAATAATTTATTATCTATTCTGCAACTAATTGATCTATCCTACTTTCTGTCTTCTTCAGGATTTCAGCAGTAGGGTGATTATTGCACGTGGTACTAAGAGAGGAGGCTTATACTATATGGATGATGTGTGTGCGGGCAAATCTCTATCTGTCAGGCTTCAAATCGTGCATTTAAGGATCAAGTGTGGTTATGGCATCTTCGTTTGGGTCATGCTTCATTTGGCTACTTAGAGCACTTGTTTCCTTATTTATTTTTGGGTTGTAAACCTTCGAATTTTAAGTGTGACACCTGCATTTCGGCAAAAAGTCACCATGCAACTTATCCTATTAGTTCTCATAAAAGATTTGTGCCATTTCTCTTGGTACATTCTGATGTCCGGGGTCCTGCTCTAGTTACTACTACTTACGGCTTCCGTTGGTTTGTTATTTTTGTGGATGATTGCACCTGCATGACGTTGTTGTACTTGATGAAAAATAAGAGTAATGTTTTTTAGTGCTTTCAAATTTTTCACAAGATGATGAAAACTCAGTTTTCTGCTACTTTAAAGGTGCTTCATATTCTTGCAGATATACATAGTAACTTGCAACGCAAGCCTTCTTGCTCTTCATGACCTTCTGTTTCTTTAACCGCCTTTTGTACCTATTGCATTCCCTTTTCATGTTTCCAAACTTTCTACAAAAGAAGCATTTCAGTCCAGTTGGTTTTCCCTCTTTTGTTTTGTTAATATCTTTGTCTTTCTTTTCTCCAAAACCTATATTTTTATACTTGTTCTAATTACCATGATAATCTTGAACCATGTTCATAGCTTTCTGACCTCTCTCCTTTATGATGTTGTGCTCTTCTTGAACGCTAATGGTTATAAGATCATCTAGTGTCCAACTTTCCTTCTGAACCACATATGAACTCTTGAGAGTTTTGAACTCCTTTGGCAGCGAGTTCAAGGCAAAATGCACCATCATGTCCTCATCTACAGTCATGTTCAGTTCCTTCAATTTGTGTGCAATGTCTGCCATGTTCATTATGTGAGCTCTCATACAACCTCGACCATCATACTTCATCTCAGTCAATTTGTTCAACAAGGTACTTTTCTCTACTTTCTCAGGTTCTTTGAATTTCAAACCAATGGCAATGAGGAATTCTTTTGCATTTTCTGATCTTGGAATGCTACCTCTCAAGGAAGGTGTCATGGTTCTTAGCATAATCAGTAGAGCCATCTTGTTAGCCTTTTCCCATTTTTCATATCTCCTTTTAACATATGCAGTTGCATCTGTGGCAGGTTCCTCAAATGTATTCCATTTTAAAGTTATGTCATAGTCCATCAGCCCTAGTGAAATTTCCAATTCTTCTTTCCACTTCAGATAGTTTGATCCAGTCAAGATTTCAATGGAGTTGTAACTTGAAGTACTCACTGTAATTTTAAAGAAAACATTAATAAACATCCCCTAAGATCTTTTACTAAACATTATTTATTTACACTTGTGGGTTACAAGTCAAACATGTTCCATAGTACTCAGAACAACAGATCTATATGAGCAATCTTGAAACAAGGAACTGTAAGCATTTGCATTCCAAATCAAAAACTAAGATGGT